TTGTTTTTGTTTTTGTCTTTGTTCTCTTTCTGAATATTGAAAGATTAAACTAATCCTATTCGGAATATGAATGCGTAGTACTGTATATGAAAAAATAACTAGATAATTGTGTTTTTTTTTATTTGTGAATTTTGAAAGATTAAATGAATCCTATTCGGAATATGAAAGCGTAGTACTGTATATATGAAAATGAATAAATGAATGAAAAGACTGTTCTTTTCTTGTTGTTGTTGTTGTTTTATCCCTTTGTCTGTGCTTTTATTGTTGTTTTTATCTCTGAATATTGAAAGATTAAACTAATCCTATTCGGAATATGAAAGCGTAGTAGCTAATGTATATATAAAAATGAATAAAAAGGACTGTTTTTTGTTTGTTTGTTTTTGTTTGTTTGTCTATGTATTTGTTTCTTGTTTGATTCATCTCTCTGAATATTGAAAGATTGTGCTAATCCTCTTCTGAATATGAAAGTTTTTTTTTTGTTTTTTGTTTTTTTTTGGGGGGGGTTGTGTTTTGTTTTTGTTTTTGTCTTTGTTCTCTTTCTGAATATTGAAAGATTAAACTAATCCTATTCGGAATATGAATGCGTAGTACTGTATATGAAAAAATAACTAGATAAATTGTGTTTTTTTTTATTTGTGAATATTGAAAGATTAAATGAATCCTATTCGGAATATGAAAGCGTAGTACTGTATATATGAAAATGAATAAATGAATGAAAAGACTGTTCTTTTCTTGTTGTTGTTGTTGTTTTATCCCTTTGTCTGTGCTTTTATTGTTGTTTTTATCTCTGAATATTGAAAGACTATATGAATATGAAAGCGTAGTAGCTAATGTATATATAAAAATGAATAAAAAGGACTGTTTTTTGTTTGTTTGTTTCTTTTCTTGCCTATGTATTTGTTTTGTTTTTTTTATTTATCTCAATATTGAAAGACTATGCTAATCCTATTGGGAATATGAGAGCGTAGTACTGTATATATAAAAAGGAAATAAAACGAACTATATTTTAATATAATTGTTTTAGAATCCGTTCTATAAGAGTGTACGATTTTTTCTTTCTTTCATTCTCTATTTTATTTCTTTGAAAATAAGGGCAACAGAGGAAAAGGAATATAAATTCAATTATTAATTTCCCTGTATCGGTTCTGCTGAAAAATATAAAGTGTTTAAGTCTTCGAATAGTTTCTTAATATATGCATCGTCTTTTCTAGATTTATTGTATCAAATATTTTCTTAACTTACAGTCAAAGAAGAAAAAATAGATTAAAAAGAGACACGGAAATTGTAACAAAAACGAGACACAAACAAGAGCCTCGTTTGTGCAATTATGACTAACAAGCTTTAACCCTTTTGCTTCACAATCCTTTGAGAGGCGATAACAACCTTTTTTTT